AGAAACATGAAAACTTGAAACAACGAAAATATATAAATTATTGCATTCTGACTAAATCTCTTTACGAATTATTTTATATTTATAGATTTTATTTATATCGAAAATATATTGATAATTGGGAGCAAATTAAAATTTTTTTTTTATTATTAAATAACGAGATGCCCTCCTTATTTATATTCGGACTTGGGACCGACAATGATTTAAGTATGTGTATATGTAAATATCTCCACAGTAGATGTTAATTAATCATTGTCGGTCCCAACTCCGAATGTCAATAAGGAGGGCATCTCGTTATTTAATAATAAAAAAAATTTTAATTTGCTCCTAATTATCAATATATCTTCGATATAAATGAAATCTATAAATATAAAATAATTCGTAAAGAGGTTTAGTTAGAATGCAATAATTTATGTATTTTCGTTGTTTCAAGTTTTCATGTTTCTCTTAAGATTATTCCTTTTTTTGCAAGTAATGTTCTAATAAAAATTTTAATTTAATTATAAACGTTCTACAAATGCAATGTTACTCGCATTTAGTCCAATTAGAAATTAATTTGTAAATTATGAAAGTTGCAGCGATTTTTACGTTGCAAATACGGATTTTAAACGTTCTATTTCAATGTGCTAATTTTTCCTTCAGTCTGACGTTGTTATAATAAGTTTCGGTTTTTACGAAGACAAATATACATTACGAAACGTAGAAATCAAATAATCCCCGAATGGTTACGAAAATGCTTAAAACTTGCAACTTCCTTTTCGAATCGCTATGCAATTCATAGCTAAATAAATATATGTCCAAAATAAAAAATATATTTCTTCCAAATTATATTATTAATAAATAAATAAATAAATATGCAAAAAATAGATTCTTAAACATACACTTCCTTTTACAATTAAAGTAATACAGTTAAATTTTTAAGTAATTGTTAGCTCAATAATTTGTTAGCGGTCGTAAACATTGTAAAATATTTTTTATGATTTACATATCATACATATTGTATATTTACATATAGTCCTGGTATATACAGTCACCAAACTAATAGACCGGACAATGCGTCAATATATCGAAGATTTCTAAAAATTCAAGATAGCAACTTTGTCAAAAATTATCATAACATAATGATCGAATAAGTATTTCACAGTTTGAAGTCTTCACTTTCGAAATCCATATTTCATGAAATGATTTACTGATACTTTACAAAGCTGCACGGATGTAAATGGAGATGCATCAAATCTAAAATTTTTTAAATAAATTTGCGAAGTTTTATGGAGTGAAATAAAAATCGCACACAATACAACTTACAGCGTTCAAAAGCGTGAATCTTTACCTTTCATTTGCGTACTCGATTAGCATTGTTTGAATTTCTTTTACCGAGTTATTCAATACGAAAGCAAAAATGGTCATTTTTACTTCAATATTTAGTAACTCGTTGAAAAAATGTCGCACAATACTGATCGAGTGCGCAAATTAAAGGTAAAGATTCACGTTTTCAAACGCTTTAAGACGCATTTGTATGCAATTTTTATTTCACTGCATGGAACTTCGCAAATTTAGCAAAAAAAATTTAGATTTGATGCATCTCCATTTGCATCCGTGCAGCTTTATAAAGAATCAGTAAGTCATTTAATGAATTATGGATTTCGAAAGTAGAGATTTTAAGCTATGAAGTGCTTTTTCGATCATTATATTACGATAGTTTTTGACAAAGTTGCTCTATCTTGAATTTTTAGAAATTATCGATATATTGACGCATTGTCCGGTCTATTAGTTTGGTGACTGTATATACCAGAACTATATGTAAATATACAATATGTATGATATGTAAA